GGGAAAACAATGGAGGGGGTAACAATGTTCAAGAGGAAGTGTACTCATTACCTCACTCATGTAACTGTAACCCTCTGTATAGTATCTTTACAATAAAAAAAAAAAAGGTAGCCAGGCACCAGTGGCTCATGCCTGTAATCCTAGCTACTCAGTAGGCTGAGATCTGAGGATGTCGGTTCAAAGCTAGCCCAGGCAGGAAAAGTCCATGAGACTCTTATCTCCAATAAACCACCAGAAAACCGGAAGTGGTGCTGTGGCTCAAGTGGTAGAGCACTTGCTTTGAGCTAAAGAGCTGAGCGACAGGTCTCAGGCCCGGAGTTCAAGCCCCATGACCGACAATAAATAAATAAATATAAAAATTAAAAAGGTATGAAAAGCTTAACAGATAAAAATCACTGCAAAGGGAGATTCAGAGGGCACTGTGTTAGAACTATAAATGTAAATGTTAGAAGGGTGAAACATAATCATGCAGAACAGATGTCTGTGGGGCACCTAACTCTTCAAGGCAGGCATGTGTTTGGGAAGGCCAGCACAAGCCTCCCACAGAACTGACCACGGAGCTGAGGTGGCTCAACATCACCCTGTCAGGCTACCAACAGAAGCAGTATGCAGTCTGATATACAAGAGCTCAGCCTAAGTACCCAGCCAAGGGTCCTTAGAGGGGCATTTAGCCAAGAACAGGGCACTGATGGAGCTTCATGAGGCCACAACTGTGTTCCTAGAAAAAAGGTTGCCAATACCTGAATCATATTAACCAGCTGGTCACAGATTTGATGCCACTGAGAAAAGTCATGCAAGGTAAAACAGATGTGCAAGCGCCCTTCTGCAAGGGGTTCAAATATTGTAGCAGTTTCATTTCTAGCATTAATCCCTAGAGCTAACCAACCCAAACCAGTTAGCAGAATGACTCCACATTTCAAAGGATGACAAGTATAAGCATGAGCAGAGGAGGAAATGACCAGGGAAGACAAAGCACCTAGCTCCACCACTAGGGTGGAATCATAAGCCATCACAAAATAACTGTAGTTAATCTTTGCCATCCTTACGGTGTGCAGGCAGAGAGAACACCTCATGAGAACTCAACCAAAGAACTGCTTGGGAAACAAAAAGTGATTTTCTACAAGCACATTGAAATAAGCAGTTCTGTTCCAAAAGTTGCTTATTGGTGTTGGGTTTTAAGAGAGAAATTGAATCCTTGAATTTGTGTAATGAAGGCAGGCATATCTCACTGAGAAAGCTGGAAGCTTCTCACAATGAATCTTGTGTTTGGCAAAGACAAGGAATTTGCTTTAATATTACTGCCTCTGAGAAAGTCAAATGTTTGTATGGGGTTCCATGTTTGGGGAGGCCCATCCCTTAGTGAAGGGGGCAGGTTTCTATGGCCACAGCAGGAAAAACTCAGCTCCATGGAGAAGTCCCATTACACATTCCTGGAGAGGAGAGATGGGCTGTGCTGAATTCTTACTTTAGCAAGAGGTTACACGATCAATTTTCAATAAACACAGCACTCTTGGAAACAGACAGTGAATCTACCCTAGCCAATAGAACGAGTCCTGTTTAAGAAAATATATTATAGGAAGTATATCCTTCTAGATAGAGTCAAAGTTCCTACGGTGTTACTGTATAGTAGAGGACTCTAATGAATTCTCACCATTTCTCAAGGACAGCAGGACAACTTCGTCTCATAGCATTCCACCTTGGTCCTTCAGTGTGCTACCAATCAGCTGTGTTACTGACAATGAGTACAGACACAATGAACTCTGTGACAGAATAGTGTTTTATGAAAGGCAAAATGTTTCTAAAATGGAGGCCAGAAAAGGTGCCACATTTTGTGACCACAAAATGTCTCTCTAATTCAACTGTAGAAAATGTAAAGTCACTTTTTAAATTTTTTTGTTGGTTGTGGGGCTTGAACTCAGGGCTTGGGTGCTGTCCCTACGATATTTTGCTCAAGACTAGGACTCTACCACTTTGAGCCACAGCACTACTTCTGGTTTTTCAGTGCTTAATTGGAGAAAAGAGTCTCATAGGGACTCTTCTGCCTGGGCTGGCTTTGAAACATGATCCTCAGATCTCAGCCCCCTGAGTAACTAGAATTACAGGAATGAGCCACTGGTGTCTGGGTACAAATCACTTTTAATAAAAAAATATTAAAGAATGTTTAACTAGTTTCAGAAAACAGCTACTTCACACATTTTAGAAGAAATGTAGTTTGCTTTTGTCCTGATCCTAGGAATTGAACTCAGCCTGAGTAGACTATCCCTGAGATTTTTGCTCAAGGCTAGCACTCTAACCACTTGGGTCACAGCGCCACTTCTGACTTTTGAGTTAACTGAAGTTAAGAGCCCAGCCACTGTGCTTGGGGTAACAGCTATGTGCCGCTGTGTCTCGCCATTAGTTAAGATGGAGTTGTGAGACTTTTGTGCCTGATCTCTGCCTCCTAAATAACTAGTATTACAGGCATGAGCCACCATGCCCAGCTAAACTGCAGTTTAATAACCTAAGTATGTTACTCACCTCCTCGAGGAGAGGGAGAAACATGCCCTCCAATGACCACAGGGATGCCAGAATCTTCCAGCTTCACTTTCCATTTCTCAATGATAGTCATAGACTTGTCCTAGAAGTGAACACTGCAGGTCAGGAAACTTTCCTGAAAGCTAATTTGTAGGAGGGCTAAACTATCCAATCAGCAGATCCATAAATACCTTACTGGCATCATCAAAAATGGAGAGCTCCATAGCACCTTCAAAGTCCTGCTGCAAAACAGACTTCAAGCATTCATCCAACCACTTTTCAGCATTGTGGACTGGGAGAATAATAGACTGCAATTCAGAGAAATGAGTCAATAAACAAATGTGAGGAGCTGAATTCCCCTCCCCCTGCTTTAATGGACTTTTGTCAGCCACATCATGCTCCTGACCTACAGAAGCCTAAGTCAGAGGCTTCCTGGACAAGGCACTCCCTGACAAAAATGTCTATTCCTTCCATGCAAGCTCTTGACATCCTTTTGTTCTATAACACCTATAATGTTTTAGTTTTCCCTAAAATTGGTGGCTGGCACTAGCTCTTTTTCACAAACTATGCAAAACTGAGAACTTCTCAGGTGGTATGGAATAAAACCAGTGGACCTGACTACCACCAAAGCAACTATCTTATAACTTTGTAATTATCACACTAAAGAGCAGCCACAGAAGTTAGTGTTCATCTCTGAGTAAAGAAAAGTGAACAGACTTCTGGCTTTCTTGGTATGTAGACCAAGCAGGTGCGTGTACAGCTGCTGGCATTCCGCCCACCTTCGGTCCTCAGCTCCTCCCCGGCCAGGCGTTCCCGCCTTCGGCTGACCGCGCCCCCTTCCCCACCCTCGGCAGGCCACGCCCCCTCCCCGCCCGAGCTCCCCGGTGTTCCCGCCCTCGACTCACCACGCCGCTCCCCCCTCGGCTGGCCACGCCCCTTTCCCGCCCGACCACGCCCCCTCGCTTCCCCAGCTCCCCGGCGTTCCCGCCCTCGGCCGGGG